TTACCATAGCAGCAAACAGCCCTAGACTGTTAGTCTGGAGGAGTTCTTCACAAAGCAGCACAATACCTCTTTCCTTGCTTCCGAGATCACTTTACTTATGAGGTTAACATAAACATTCAAACCCAAACAGTTAACCCTTTGCACTCCGAGTACTTTTAAATGTTGTTTGATCTAATAACAGCACTATAGCATACACAATATCAGTAGGGAACCGATTATCCGGAACGATCGGGACCATTCGGATTCCGGATAACTGATTTTTCCGGTTTTCTGAATCGCTACAAAAAGCCGTTTTTTTATTGTTAAACCCAACTAAAAAATAAAATTTTTTGGAAATAATCTTAAAAAGAAGAAAAAACGATCAAGTAATACACTAATGATTATTTCCAAAATGATGGTAAGGTGAACATCTTTCAAAAAAGAAAGAAAAATCCTAAAATCTTATGAGGAAAAAAAATTTTTTTTTTTTAAATGGCGGGAAAATTTATCGAATTTTGTTCCGGTTTTCTGATTTCCGGATAACGGGTTCTGTATCTACTGTATTATTATAAAATTCTTAAAATAATGTGATTACTAATTATTAAGGTATAAAATTTCTTAATTTCAAAGTGGTGACTGTTGATTGTGCCTCCGTGTGGACATCGGAGTGCAAAGGGTTACATTCGTGGACCTGGTATGAATATCTTACCATTTTATGCAGGCATAAATGGCAAGCACCACACATCTATCCGTTTGATTCACAGGGATATTAATTCTAGTACTCATTCTGTTTCTTTTTTTCTTCACGTTAGTTAAAGAATATGAGATAATAAAATAATTGTTTTGCACAGAACTCCATATTACCATCAAACAGCCACGTAATGCTGATTGGCTTAGTGAATGGAAGTTTCATTTACAACACAATGGGAGACAAGATACACCCGATTGGTAAATACCACAATGATGTCAAGTACTCAGATATGTATGAATGGTTCAACTGCATGAGGATAGGACCTTGCTATGGATGGATGAACAAGAACGAAACTATCAGGCAAGCCACTACTCAGGTAAACACTTTATTTCATTTCATGATGCCCTTATTAAAAAATAAAAAATGTATTAATATTAATAAGGGCATCATATTAATAAATAAATTTATTATTATAAAATTTTTTATAATTAATTAATATTATATAATATTATTTATTATTAATTAATAATAAAATTTAATACAGGATGTGTAGCCAAATCTTTCAACAAAAAATAAGTACCTTTTAAGTACTTTTCAAGGACTAAAAAAACATTTTTAAGCACTATATACATTAACAAAATGCAAAATAATTTTCAAAGACTAGATGATCATGAGAAAATAACTAGTTTCTGATAAAGAATTCTTTTCTTGATTATATTAGCCGTTATAAAATGATCAAAAGATTTTTCGGTTCGATATCAGAGGGTGGAAAATGAAGCCAGAAATTGAGAATATCTTGCAAAATATAGCAGAGTTGCACAAGAGAAGGCAATCTCATCGAAACCAGCTCAGTAGACGCACATACGAACTCGCAAAGTATTTCATCAAACATGCAAAATGATTGGGACTTTCATACGCTATGGACCGACTATACGCCGAAATGAATTGTGAAAACATTGAATAGAACAATGTGAAAAGCACGCTTTTGCATAATATGTGGCGGAAATAGACATGGTAAAGAAAAAAATCTCACTTTTTGAAAAGGGAAAATTAAGCAATTTTTAAAAATACCCCATGAAAAAAGCACCTTTAAGCGCTTTTAAATAACGAAAATCAAAAATAAGCACCTTTAAGCACTTTTTAAAAAAGCTACGCACCATGATAGAGGGAGCAAATTTATTTGCTATTTCAACAGCCTTTAGCTAAATAAGTGAATTCATTAGCCTTATAGGTTAATTGTCAAATAAACTAGTTTAAAATTAATTGAGTCGCTCCTTTGCTCTTATTGATCTCAATAGTGATTGGCCATAACTGAAAAACACTTTTTTCTCCTTTTTTAACTTAACTATTAACTTGACACCCCTAGTGTGCATAAATGTTTTACTACATTTTTTTAAAAGATTCTCAAAATATATATTGATTACAGTCATTACGGAACACCCTACAAATACGAAATATTTACATAATAACCTTAACATGGGTTCAGAAGTTTGCAAGTGTTTAATCAATCATAGATTTAGTGAGTTCTAAAAAAATAGAACCAATTAAAATTAAACTTTATGGTCCCTACATACTCCTATTTTTATGAATTGAAATATTTTTAATTATGTCCATCATTTGCTCTCTCGAGCATGAGCAGTCTTGCAGTCCAATATAACAAAGAAATATCTTCTGGGGCGGAAAGCATCTTGAAACTAGAAGAATTACGGGCCTCCTGGAGGGCAGAGCAGTTACATAGATGCCCGCCATTCATATGGGCCCTATTTGCACATAGAGTACAGTTAGAAGAGTCAGAAAGACCAACATGGCGCAAGTGCGCCTGTAAATAATCATGCCCCGTCAACAATCGGAAAGATGAAACACCAATAGCTCTAGGGAGATTGTTCGGAAGACAGGATGCCAGAAGGCTCTCCCAAAGTTTTCCAGAAACTTGCTCTCTGTTGGAAGAAACCCGCAGACTTCGAAGCTTTAGTTTCACAATTTGTTTAACATTTCTCAAAGTTATTAAAGAGGAAAGAGATCGGGCAAGAATACTAGCTGAATCCACCGGACTCTTAAAAGATAGTATCGCCCTAAGACAAAAACAGGCTCTCTTGTAAAAGAGCATCATAAACTCGAAACGAACTTGTTTTAATCAATTCCTTCATGGTTTAGACTACCGAAAGGATGGTAAGAAGGTTTTTAAATTTATTTCAACCTTGAATGAATTGAAATATAAAAATTACAGCATTCTAAAATAATACTAATTGAAACAATGTATAGTTTGTTTCTCATTTTATTCATTCTTGGCTTTAAATGCATAAATTAAAGTCTATGTATTTTTATACTTAGAGATCTGTTGAATTGACAGAAGTTCTTAAAGATATTGCAGCAACAAAGAAGTATGACAACTTCAAAATTCATTTTCTCAGAAATCCAATGGTACAAGGTAAAAAAAAAAATTTTCCCCTTCAAAATACAACTATCTAGTTAAATATTGAATGATTTTGTTTTTTATTATTTTATTCTAAAATAACTGATTACTCAAGTATGAAATTATAATTGAAAAAATATACTCATTTATTAAATTCTATGTTTTTAGATGTTAATTCTACGTTTTACATGTTTTTATATGTTAATTACATTCTTTTATTGCAGTGATAGAGCAGTGGGAAAAAGAAGGACACGAACTGTGGAAATTTTTAGAGCCAGTAGACAGTCTTCATCCCGTGCAGGTAAAAATATAACAAATAAAAATTGGCAGGTGACAAAGTAAAGTATGCACTATAAACATATATAAATATTTTCATACAAATGATGTCAATACAGTTGAATTAAATCAGTCATGATAGATTATGGAAACAGGTAGAATTAGTTCATAGTTATATGATTGGGATGAGCTCATGAGCAGCTTTATTGTCCTTGATTACGATCACTGAACATTTCGGCGTCTACGATATTTACTTTTACTAATTAAAAAAAAAAACTACGAGAACTAATAAAAAAAATGTATTCATAATTCATTGCTACTACTGAAAAAAAAAAACAATTAGTTGTATTCTATATTATAAAGAGCTTATTGAACTTTCATTTTTTTGTACTTTTCTGAGTACACTAAATTAAAAATAAATACAGTAAGACCTCGATTATCCGAGCAAATTGGGACCGCTAGTACCTCGGATATCGGAAATCTCGGTTAATAGGAACCATGTATAAAAAACCTTCCGTGCTTGCGAATTTAACTACTTTTAAAGTAAAAAACAATAGAACGTTTTTTAAATGATAAAAATAAACATATATGAACTTATGTTTCACAGCTAAAAAGACTTAAAAAGGAAATCAACTCTAGTAGTAAATTTCAAAAAGTAAAATGGAATTTTTTTTAACTATACTTAGTTAAATATCGAAAAATAACACAAATCTCAAGAACATATTGTATTTTTAAAATTTACATGATTAAACTTACAAGTCACTTGACCACTGTTTAACAAAGCATTCATGGATGTTGTCTTCTCAGGGTGTAATATTTCATGGAAGTTGAGTGCTTTTGTAGGGAATAAGTGCCTGTAACACGGACAACG